AAGGGAGAATTGGAATCCAATTCCATCAAAGGAGGGAAAGTAAATTACATCCATAACATGATGTAATTGAAATCCTTTGGAGGAGGGAATGTGAAATTTGACCATACCACCCTCATCAATCTTTTAGTATTCAGGTCTGATTTTTAAAAAAAATTTGGGATCGGGTCGGATTTTTTTAAAAAAAAATTCGGGTTCGGGTTGGGTTGGGTCGGGTCGGGTTTTCTTAAGTTTGATATTCAAGTCGGGTTTTTTTAAGTGTGAGTCGAGTTCAGGTCGGGTTTTTTTAAGTTTGATATTTGGGTCGGGTTTTTTTAAGTGTGATATTCGGGTTGGGTTTTTTAAGTGTGATATTCAGGTCGGGTTCGACTTTAGGGTGAAAAATACCCGACCCGGCCCAAAAAAATATATAATTTTACCTTATATATTTAGGAATAATTACAATAATACCCCTCTATATATAATTTTTCAATTAAGTCACTGTTTTTATTGAATAAAAATAATTTTTTTATTATTTCGGGTCAGGTCAGGTTTTTAATTCATATATTCGGGTCGGGTCGGGTCTCGGTTGAAGGTTCCCTTGTTATCGGGTCGGGTCGGGTGGACCAAAAACCCGACTCAACCCAACCCATGGCCATCCCTAATTGGGATAATTTTAACTTATAATGTTTATTAGTATGTTTTTTATAATTTATTGAAATGAATAATCAATCAATAAAATGAAAATTTAATATTTTTTAAATTTTTATAATATATTGCTACATGTAAGTTATAAAACAAACTAAAATTAAGCAATAAAACAAGAAGGGCAATTCTATCATTTTACATTACTGAAATCAAATTCATCTGACATGCCTGCGAAACAAAAAGAATATGGAATTGGATTCCAATTCAATTTCCTGCCAACCAAACATGTTTCAGATTCAGATTCTAATTCCCTTAGACACGTTCCAACGAACCAAACACCACCTAAGGGTCTAGGGTAAGTCCTTATGGATGCCTTTTCTGGGGTATTTTATATGGTGTACGGGTGGATGGTATTACAGTGATTTTTAAAATTTGTTTCCTTAAATAAACTACTATTATTTTTTAAAACTATTTTTTGTTTTATAGGAACACACTAGATGTCTGTTTCAAACTCCTGAACCTGGTCCTCTGAACGTTTCCTCTTAACTATAAACCATATGTTTGTTACATGAAGAAATATTAGTGGAACCTCAGTTCGTCATAAAAACTTGTAGATACCTAAATCGATGAGAAAAGTTTATGCTTGTCATTTATCTGCATGCCCTTCAACATCATTTGGTAGTTCAGTATTATTGAGTTTCTCAAAGCTCGCTCTTTTACTTACCATTTCAGTTAATGATTAGATCATGTACAATTATTGGCATCAGCATTGGGAGTTCCTTCAGCGTTGTTGGCGAGTACAATACATGTATAATTAGAGGCATGTAGGTCACATTTTATTTTTATATTGAGTCTGGAACTTGTATGATTTTAATTATGTTTGTACTATATGAATGGTTTTCTGCACTTGTATTTTATTTATAGATTTTTTATGATGTACATGTTTTAAAAAAATTGAAATTTTTCCTAGATTTTTTTTATTGTGGGTCGCTCCGGTTTCCTTAATGTGACACCTAAGATCAGATAGAGTCACCCGCATCGGTGTTACATTTAGTAGTAAATGGTACTCTTGTTATAATAATCAATCATTGACAATAAGTTAAGTCGAACAATAAACTAATCTTTGAACTAATGTAATGCTCATATAAAATACCTTATAATTATCACATGTTATTACCACATGTGTCGCTTGAAATTTGGCCAATTATTAACTTTCCTTCGGGCCAAAGTAATAAATGCATGAATTACAAGAAACAAATAATCTTCTTGATGTTTAAAATAAATAAGTCTGCACAAAAGATGTCACTTTGACAATATTTTGATTTAACTAATCTATTAAAATAGTATACCTAGCAAAAATATGAATTAATTTATTTAAATTTATGTATTCTAATAACCAACAATCAAAACTGAAATTTTGATCAAACCATATTGAATATATACATATATTACATTAAGAATATAAATAAAACCATATAAATATTGTCAACCAATCAAATTTCTCTTAATTTTATCTTTCAATTAAACTGAAAGATAACCAAAATAATAATAAATTTGAATACACTTAAAGTTCATCTCAAGATATCGGATGTTCCATTAATATTTCATCTTGACCAACTATTCACCTTAAGTGATACCTGGTGCGGTAACCAAACACTGATAATAAGAACATGTCAAGAAAATGTTTTCCTTTGAGTCGATTTATTACTCACACATTAAACCAAATAATTATAACATGCTTATTACCAAATTTGTATATGTATGTAAAAATGATCGTACTAATGTCAAGACGGTGCACGTTAAGCTCTTCTCTCTCGGTGCATATTAGCTGGGCTAATAGCGATTAAAGACGGGACATCTTCTTCGATTCTTGCTTCTTTTTTCTGCAAAATCTGGGATCTTTCTTGGGGATTTTGTTGGGTCATAGCTGTTGAAGGTGTCTCTGATTGGAGAAATCTCTTCTCGACAGGGAATGAACAGGAATTGGATTTCTTTCCTCATTTGATGATTGAGGTTTTTTGCGTAGTGAAACCACCTCGCTACGTGTTTGAGGAGGGTATTTTGGAATGGAGGTACGCTCTAGTTGGTCAATCCATTGGTTCAGTGCCGAACTTTGCTTCTCTCCAGAAGATTATTGGTCTGTTGTGGGGAAAAGAATCTCTGGTGAATGTAAGTTTAGTTGGGCCGAATCTATTTGTTTTTTCATTTATTAATTCTTTGGTTAGGGACTGGGATTTAGAGAACGATCTGTGGCATGTTCAACATAAACCAATTTACCTTAGGAATGGGAACCTAACCTGAAGGAATTGAACTTTGACTTATATTGTATACATGTTTGGATCCAATTGTATAATGTACCATTGGAGTTGTTTTGAAGAAAGAGCTTAGTTACATAGCTAGTGCAATTGGTAAGCCACTCTGCATGGATTTGATTACGACTAATAGAGAAAGATTAGAATATGCACGAGTTTGTGTAGAGGTTTCGGCTGGGTCTCGATTCTGAACCATATTGATGCGGTATTATGCGATGAGTCAATGGCCAGGATCAAAGTCTCTGTGCCTTGGATTCCTAGCTCATGTGTTAACTGTGGTCGTTTTGGTCATTTGTTGAAGTATTGTCCTCAGGGATAGAAAGTCGAGCAAGTCTGGAGGGTCAAAGATTCTGCTCAGGGAGTTAAGTTATATGAACCTGCCTCTAAGAGTGGGGCTATGAATGCTTTGGGATCTGGAAGTTCTTTGGATGGGAGTTCGACTGCTTCTGCATGCTCGAATGTAGTTTCAACTTCTTTGGGATATAGCCCTACTAAAGGGCTATCTGATTTTTTTAGTGCTAAGGTGGATAACCAGACTGTTGGTACGGATAATAACTTGATTACTGCTGCAAATAGGACTTGTACTAGGATCTCGGTTGCTATTACAAGGTCAGATGGGGTTTTGTACTGGGGACCTAGTCGCTAATATAGCGCCAATTGGGGCTTGTACTGGAAACATAGTTGCTAGTGTTGTACCAAATGAGGTTTATATTGGGAGTGTTACGATGACTGATCAGGGATCTAAGCAACCTGATCATTCTGTACAGGCTATTGATCCACATACAAAGAGAACTAGAGACAGGCCAGCTAAAGTTGATAAAGCTGTGGGAGGATGGTCCAAAAATAAGTTTGACATTTTCAGTTCAATTGACCCTAACAGTTTGGTTGGAGTTCCTCTTATGGACTCTGGTAAGAAATAGAGGGGGTTGCTTTGGGTATAGCAAAGATTGTGCAATAGTTGAAATTAAAAAAAAAGAACATGTTGACAAGGTTAAAAAAGCTGAGGAAAGGGGTGGTGCCTCTTCTTCCTCAAATTTTTCATGCTAGTATGCTTCTAGAATGTTAGGGGATTTAACAATCCCCTGAAGCAAAGCATAATGCTAAAATGGGCTACTAGATATCACATCAATATTTTTTTCTTATGGAAACTAGAGTCTAGGAAAACAATTCTGGGGAGATTTCGTCTAAGAAGTTTGGGGGCTGGAGTTTTTGCTGTAATTACAGTCATGTTGAGAATGGTCGGATCTGGGTTTGATGGCAAAACAATTTGGACTACTCCATCTGTTTAATTTTTTATCAGAGTATTTCTATCAAGGGTAGTTTCGGTGATAAACCATTTTTCATTATTGTGGTGTATGGCTCTAATGATGGCATAACTCGCAGGCAGCTTCGGAATCAACTTAGCAGTATGGACAATATTGTGGGTAATGAAGCCTGGTTGATAGGAGGTGATTTCAACGTTATTTTAAAGATGGAGGAAAGCTCAAATCCTGTTAGTTCTAATACCAGCAGTGACATCTATGATTTTCATAAATGTGTAGAGGATCTGGGGGTATTTGATCATTAATTCATTGGACCACTGTTTACTTGGTCAAATAAACAGCAGGACACCTACCTGGCTCACAAACTGGACCGAGTTCTAATTAAGCATTGATGGGTTGAGACTTTTCCTTCCTCCGAGGTTGAATTTCAAGTGCCTGGAGAGTCAGATCATAGTCCAACTTTAGTTTAGTCTGACTGCACAAAGAAGCTCTCATTGCCAAGCCAAAGCCCTTCAAATTCTTTAACTTCTGGTTATGCATCCAGATTTTTACCATTGTTAGATATTTGTGATAGTCCCCAGTTACTGGGAATCCAGCCCAAGTTCTTTTTCTTAAAGCTAAAAATATTGAAAAGTTGCCTTAAGGATCTAAATAAAACTTACTTTCTTGATATTTCGGGGCATGTTCAGAAGAAGAGGGAAGAATTAAGATCTATCCAACTTGCTAATTTGGATGCTTCTACTGCTGGCAGCCTCATAATTGATAAACTGAAGACAGAGTAGGAATTAAAACCCTTGAGCAGATGGAGCTTCTCTTCTACAAACAAAAAGCAAAGGCATATTGGATTAGAGATGAAGATCAGGGTACCAACTTCTTTCACTCCATAGTGGCTAGCAAAAGGATGAGCAATACCATTAGGGTCCTTTATAATCATGATGTATTCAGACTTAGTACTTTTGATGACACGACTAAAGAGGCTATCAATTTCTTTAAAAAGCAATTAGGGGTGGTTGATCCTGAGGTTAAGTGATGTAGTGTCAACACTATCAAGGAGCTACTTGGCTATTCTATACCTGAGGGTGCAGCCGAGGCTTTAATCATAGAGGTCTCTGATGTTGAGATTAAAGATGCTATATGGGGGCAAGGGAATAACAAATCCCCTGGTCCAAATAGATATAACTCGTTCTTTTTCAAAAGAACCTGCATATAGTTGGGAATGATATTTTAGCAACTATCAGGTACTGTTTTACTAACACATTCATGCTTCATTCTTTCAATGTTACAACTGTTGTACTTGTTCCTAATGTACCTAACCCGAGTATGGTTAAGGAATTTAGTCCTATTTCTTGTTATTCTGTCATATACAAGATTGCTACTAGAATCCTAGTGAACCGATTGTCTATTGTCTTCCCTTGTATGATTTCAATGAATCAATCAGCTTTTGTGAAAGGGAGAAGAATTATTGATAATACCCTACTAGCCCAGGAACTTGTTAGAGGATATAATAGGAAGAAAGTTTATCCATGTGCTCTTAAAATTGACTTGCAAAAGGCTTTCGATTCCTTAAACTGGGAATTTGTGGGAATTGTTCTTTATGCATTAGGATTACCTGAGAAGTTCATTGGCTGGGTCTGGGCTTGTATTACTAATCCTAGTTTTTCAATTATGTTCAATGGTAGTCTAGTTGGCTACTTCAAGGGCGCTCAGGGTGTTAGGCATGGTGATCCCCTTTCACCATATATTTTCATTTTGGCCATGAACGTTTTATCTAGTCTTCTGAATATGGCTGCTATGAAGGGAGTGTTTAACTTCCATCCTAAGTGCAAAAAGATTGGGCTCACTCACCTTTGCTTCGTGGATGATTTACTTATATTCTACAAAGGTTCTCTGGACTCTGTAATTGGTGTGCAAGCTGTTTTAGACACTTTCTACTCTATGTCTGGTTTAAAACTAAATGCTAGTAAATGTGAAATGTACTATGCTGGGATTTCTGTTGAGCAATGTGCTGCCATTAAGGAGATAACCGGTTTCAATCTGACAAGCCTTTCATTACGTTATTTAGGAGTCCCACTAGTAACCAGGAAACTCACTGTGAAGGACTGCCACAGTTTAATTGATAAGATCAGGGCCAAGCTGAGTTTGTGGGCCAACAAACATCTTAGCTTTTCTAGGAGACTTCAACTAATCCAAGCTGTTTTATTTAGCATGGAAAGTTTCTGGTACATGCAGCTCATTCTACCTAAAGAGATTATTAATACTATCGAGCAGCTATGTTCTAGATTTTTCTGGAAGGGGTCTGACTTACCTGTAAAAGGTGCTCGTGCCAGCTGGAAAAAAATATGTTTAATGAAATCTGAAGGAGGTCTGGGCATTCAAGCTGTAGGCGAATGGAATAAAGCCTGCATTGTACCTAATCAGGAAATTATTGGCTAATGAGGGCTCTCTTTGGGTGGCCTGGATGCGTGCCTATGTGATCGAGAATGCTGATTTATGGAAAATGATTATTCCCACAAATGTAAGCTGGTGCTTCAAGTACATTTTGAAAATCAAGACTAATGTCTTTCACCTCTTTGCTAGCCCGATTCATAGCCTGAGTGTAAGAAGTATTCGGGAAGACATGCACATTAGTCCTCCCAAGGTCTCTTGGAAACATCTAGTCTGGTTCCCTGGCCGTATTCCTAAACACAACATCATAGTGTGGATGGCTATTCTTAACCGACTCCCTACTCCGGTTAGACTTCTAATAATGGGTTTAAATATTGAGAACGATAAATGTCTATTGTGTGGTATTGAGGCAGAGTGTAGAGACCATTTGTTCTTTGGCTGTAATTTTGCAAAAGGCTTATGGGGAGCTATTCTTGCTTTATGTGGTGTGTATCAGGGGGTTAGTAGCTAGGATGGTGAGTTGACTTGGGTGACCCACTGCCTTAAGGGTAAGTCCCTCATTGTGAGAGTGTTTCGGCTTGCCTGGGCAGGTCATGTTTATGGCATTTGGAAGGAAAGAAACAACAGACTTTATGGAGGTAGAGCTCGGCCAGTGCATGCGTTAATGCAGGATATCAAAGAAGTTCGGATCCGGATGGAGGGAAACACTATCAGTAGAGCCGACCCAAGAAATGCAACTCTTTGTGTTAGTTGGGGTATTACTTAAGTTGGGAGTTTCAGTACTACTGTTTCCTATATTGTGTTAGTCGTTTAGCTTAAGTTGTTTGATGGTTATGTTATCTGTTGTTTATTGTAGGCTGTAAAGTGTAGCAGGCTCCTGTTTTCTTGGGTAATGAAATGGAATTATCCAAAAATTTGTATATGTAATTATGTCAACTATTAATCTTCATTTGGGTCGATCAATGCTAACATATCATAAGTTACATGTGCATAACCTTTATATTTTATAAATTAAATATTTATCATAACTGTATCCACTTTAACGACTTATTGCTTTAATTAAATCATTTCAAAATAAATATTAATACTTAAATATCATATTTCTATAACAATCAAATGTCAAAACTGAAATTTCTAATTGCATTATAATATTTGAAATAACCCAAAATAACGTTACATAAATGGTGTTATAAAAAAATAGACCCTCAAGTCTTTGATTGTTTCTGAATAATTCCTTAAACATGCAATTAATTCATAATTTTATAAATTACCAAAGTTAAACTAAAGTAACAAAATAATCAATAAAAATGGTTGTCCCTTTTTCCCATATGTATGGGGTAAGGGAGAGGTAAGATAGTAGGTTACCCCCAACACCAAGTTGAGAGCAGCTTCCGTAAGAGACCTCCGAATTATGAAATGCCCTCCGTGGGACTCGATCCCACGACCTCAATATTTAACCAAAAGTTAAAATCAAAATAAATACCAATAAATTAAATCTTTAATCAAACCGAATTGAATCTATCAAAGCCAAATGTATATTCCATAATCTATATCAGTAAAAAAACAAAATTGAATTTTCTAATCACGTCATGGTTTCCAAAATAACTCATAATAAGGTTGTCTAAATGACATTATTAGAAACCTAAAAACTTAAATCTTTGACTATTCTTCAAGATTTTGTTAATTATGGATTCACCAAATCAAACCAAAATACATTATTAACCGTATAATGAATTCAAACTTAAATTTATTTCTAATATATTTAAAACAAACAGTAATAATTGTTTTGTTTGTTTCGGTAATAAAATCATACAAAATATCCTTTACAAAAAAAATCTTATGAATTCCAAGGCGAAAAAAATATAATAACCAAATCATATATATATATATAATACAAACACAACGAATGTCCTGTTTTATATGTTTTGGTAATAAAATCATACAAAAACTCCATTAAAAAACAATCATGTGAATTCTAATACAAACAAAAATATTAAATTAATCATATACTTTATAACTCAAATATAAAAGTGAATGGTGGAACTATCATCAATAAAATAAATTGAACGTGATAAACCTATTCGTGTCATCGTGTGATCAAACTAGTATAACAGTGAGGCTAATAAAAGCATCAAATACATATGGCAACAATAAGCCAAATAGAATTATAGGAGAGCATTATGTTAAATGAGGCTGATTTCAATCGATGAACAACAAAGAAAAAAAACAATTGAAGAATTGTTATTAGGGCACGCAATTAAAGATTAGGGAATGCAATTAGTTTCTCAATAATTACTATATAACACCCAATTGAATATAATAATTTATAAAAATCATACCAAATTTTAATACGAAATTTTAATCATTCAACCATAAACATTAAAATCAATTGATTCTCAATGATTCAACACGATTTGACCATTATGTCATTTGTTAGAACTAAATCATAATAAATATGAAAACAATCGGGATCTAATCCTGTTAAATCATCAAGAATAAAATATTAGATGCGGAAGCGTACCTAGATTAATTGATAGGTTGAAATCTTTATGTATTTATTTAGTTGTGATCACTACAACAAAATAGGTTTTTATAGTATTTCTAACGGCATTTTAAAAAACGCCACCAAATTTAAACATAACGTGGCATTTACAAGTAAAATGCCACAAAATAAAAACATTGGCGACAATTACGATAAAATGCCGCAATAGTCATACACCTTCCTTTAGTGGCATTTTTAATCAAAACGATGTGATTGACTAATATAAGGCGACATTTGTTGGTAAGCGCCATTACCGACACGTACTTTAATGGTATTTATGTGGTAAACACCAAAATAGTCATGTATCTTTAATGGCATTTATTTAAAACATGTCGTATTTACACAATACTGTAGACATCAATTTTTCCATTTTAAATTTAAATTTATTATTATTATTAAAATTATTATTATTATATAATTATTATTATTAATATTATTATATATTATTTATTAAATATTACAAAGCCCAAAATTGAGGCCCATATACAAATCCCGGAACCCAAATCAGAGCCCATTTACAATATCCAGGCCCAACCCGAATGGCCCAATAGATGACCCCAAACCCTTTTAGGGTTTATAACATTTTAGCTAGGGTTTTCTAACCCTAGCCCCGCGCGACGCCGCCTCAAGTTTCCAGAAGATCCCAGCTGCTGCCTCCAGATGCTTCCAGCCGCCCCACGTCCTGCTGCCGACCCTACCACTGCCACGATGCTTCGCCAAAGACTCCAGAAATAGCCCCACGTCGAAGTTATATGGTGAGTCACCGTATAACCATGGTGACTCACCGAAGCTTCCACTCTTTAACCAGTCCGAGAGGAGCGCCGTGGTGGCTATAAAAGCCACCGTTACCTGCAAAATAAAAGGACAGAGAGCAGAAAACAATGGAGAAAGAGACGAACACAGAGAACGAAGAGAATAAAAACGACGAGGAAACAGACAGTAACCAAGAGCAAGTACACCAACAGCCACGAAAAAAGAAAACAACCATACACAAAGCAACGAAAATTGACCGAGAGAAGAGGGAGAGACTTACCATCATCGGAGGACTTCGAAGCGTCGCCTGAACCATTGTAGAATCAAATATAAAACTTTGGTTTCGTTTAGATCTACAAAAATTGGTAAGACTTTATGCGAAAACAACCTTGGATTTAGGCTTAGACAAATCGGGGCTTTGGTTTAAGGGTATTTTGTATTTTTCAGCCACCGTGAGTGGTGGCCGACGGGAAGCGTCGGCGCCGGAACAAGGCAGTCGACCGGAGGCTTTAAGAAAGAAAAGAGAGAAAAATTTTCTCTCTCAGATCAGAGAGAGAAAGAAAAGAAGCAAATGAGAAATGACCCTTAGGGCCGGCTGGTTATAAGGTATCTATACCCAATATGAAACGACGCCGTTTCATGGGTATAAATGTGCATTTTGGGTAAAAGGATAAATCTATTCCGCGGTGTTCCATGTTTGTAATCTTTACAAAATAGTCACCACCAGTTATTTTTATTTATTTTAATTTGGCATTCGAATTTTAATGTATTATGTTTTAGTCATTAATCAGTAAATATTTATATATTTAGGATAAATTTCATATTTAGTCCCTCATATTTTTATATTTAATATTTCAATCCCGAATAACTAATATAGGTTAAATCACACTGTTAGCACTCAAATTTTATAATATTTCGAGTTAGAGCATTTAAGTTTTACAGCTTATAATTCAATCATTAATTATTTTTACCATAAGTTTTTATTTTATTATTTACACCTATAGTTTTAATTTTCTATATTCTAGTTACATATTATTATTATGTTTATATTATACTTTTAATACCCATATTTTATGTATTTCGAATTAGGATTTTAAGTTTTATATTTTTTTTCTTCATTTATATTTTTAATTTAACCATAAGTTTTAATATTTTCCAATTTAATATTATTGGTTTCAATTTATTTTATTTTTCATTATTGTTTTTTTACTTAATATTATACAATATCATATAGTATTAATTTTATTTTGATCCTATACTTTAAATATAGTATTTTATTTATTTATTTATTTATGTTTTATGCACTAATGTTTACATGAAATACAATATTATAATTTTATAATAATATTTATTTTTAATATCAAAGAAAAATGACAGTCTTAAAGCAACTAGATGTTCATTTTCTGATTTTTTTTATCAATTATATATTATATTAGTATAAATGTTTTATTATTATTTATTTATTTTTTAATATTAAGAAATGAGCTGTCTTAAAGCACCTAGAAGCCCTTTTCTGATATTTTTAAATAAATATCTTATTTATATATATATAAATGAATATATTTTCTTAAAATTACAAATTTGAAATAACAGGATTACAAATTAAATATATTTATGAATTTTTAAATTTCCAATAATAGAGACAATTTATAATTAATAAGTACCAATTTTGGGCGTTGTGGGGATGTTAATCCTTCTCCAAATGTAATCGACCACGAATCCCTTTTATTATTAAAAAGAACGATTTTTTGGTTAAAACGTAGACCAGTTTATCTTTTAACTGATGTTTTCTTAAAAACTCTTTTAAAAGATAATTTTTAGGTATTCGATCTACCTGACCCAAAAGGCCGATGGCATCTCCCAAAATATTTTAAAACCATTTATTCATATCATTTTCCCACCAAGCAAAATTTCGTGCCCGGGCGAAAACCGATTACGACAGCTTGGCGACTCCACTGGGGACTGGTAAAACTTTAAAACCAATTATTAATTGTCTCTATCAATTAGAAAATTAAAAATTCATATATTTAATTTTTAATTTTTTCTTTTCAAATTTTTGTATATATACTTATTATTTTCATAATATTTATATGTTATTAATGCTTTATTTTCAAATATTAAATTTTATTATTTATTTGTTAGAGGTTTGAACATTTCTCCTCACACACATCACTTGCATCACATAACATAAGCTTTATAATCAAGCTTGTCCCTCTTAAGTGGGAGTGAAAGTGACGTCTTCGTGAGAATTTATTCTCCGTGTAATATCTAACAAGTAGCTTTCGGGGTTCATATGCTCTATGTCTTCGTGAGAATTTATTCTCCGTGTCAGGCATAGAGAAGTGTATCCCTCTCAAATTGAACTCGATCCACTTTAGTCTGTGATGGACTAGGATAGAGGGTTAGCAGCCCAAGGGGACACTAACAAGGACAATTCATGTACCTTTACTCCTAGAACTGAAACCCTACATATAATAAACCCTAGCACTTCACCTGATCTAAGAAGTACTGAAACCCTGTCCATAGGTGTACACAAAGGAGAAATAAGCTCTAGCTTTTAATTTATTTAATTTAT